AATTGTTCAAAAATAAAATTCTAAAATGTGAGCCAGCTGGTGGTACGTACGGTGGGTTAAAGTGACTGGATCCCACATGGCTGACTGTGCAGTTGAATCCAGGACCCAGTGACTTGAAAACATACTGGGTGAGTGTGTGTGCATGCCCAAAACCCTGAGAGGAGGATGGAAGAAAAAGGATCGCAGTGCAGTCATCTCCCTTGGGAGGGAGTGTTTTCTCTTCTCTCTCTTTCCATCTCTCTTTCTGTCTCTCTTCTGTGAGCTCATGTGCTCTCTACCAAATTTTTAAAAATCCTAAAATATTATTAGAGTAATGAATTTGTGTTGTTTATAACATACCCAGTTTATCGTGTTTAATTGTAGCAGCCTGAATGGAATAAGGGGGAGATGATCTCTCTTATCCATGATACCCTAGCATATGGTGGGTATTCATGTCCTTCTTCAATATCTCCTTATGTATCTGCCAGCTATTTAAATATGAATATATTTTGATCCTATCCCTCTCCCCTCCTTTTTTTTTTTTTTTTAGAAAGAGAGAGTTGTACTATAAGGTGCATGCACTCATCAGAGAGACAGAAAGCAAGAAATCACCTCCAGGGGCATGACCACACTGCAATATCTTTTCCTCATTATCCTCTTGGGATCTGGGGCATGCATGTACATGTGCCTGGTCTGAGTTTTAAGTTGTCAGATATGGGACTCAAACCATGGTCAACTACATGGGATTCCAGCAATGTAGCCATTACACCATCTGCTGGTCCTTTTTCTGTAATCTTCTGTTTTTTCTGCATCATCGATTTTTCCTTCTTTACTGATTTTTACTATCAGCATATATGTCTTACCAATAGTTTCTTAGTTGTCATCAATAGCACCCCACAAACTTGGCTGATATAAGCAAAAGTAGATTTTGTTAAAAGAACACTACAAGATCTGCCCTATAGCACAGCAGTGAAGGCAGCCAGATCCCACATAGCTGATCATGGTTTGAGTCTCAGTTGGGTGGCTTGAAAACATGTTGGCACATGTGCGTGCATGTCCAGAATCTGATAGAAAAAGGGAATGGAGGAAAGGATTGTTGTATGACATTACCCAATGGGAGTTGATTTGTATCTCTTTGTCTGGTGAGTACAAGTACCCTCTGGCAATAAATAAATAAAGGACACTGGAATTGGCATCACCACTCCCTCTAGCCCTGGGCACTGCAACCTGTCACTAGCACTTCAGAAACTCACATCACAATCACTGCTGCAGATGCCCCATTCCAGCTCTAGATGCCCCATCCAAGCATGTGTATCTAATTGGTGAAGCCTGAGTCACATGCCCATGGTCTACCTATAGGGAGGCTGGGAAAGCAAGTATCTGTCATGAAAATGCAATACAAGGAAGAAGGCCTCCCAGCAAAATGAACAATCCCATAATTAATACCTTAGCAAATTTTTAAATTGTTCTGAAAATGAAAGGGTTCACATGTCACTGGCAGGCCTAAAAGAATACTGAATCCTCAGCACACTCAAGTATCCTGTGTTAAAAATAAATAAATAATTCCTCACTTTTCATTTCCACCCATCCATGACATTTCTACAAAAAGGTCATCCACAAATAGCTTTATTTCCTCCTATCTTATTCACTATTTAACCCATTCCAATATTGATTCTATCCTTAAAAACCAACATATGTAGACCTCACCTTGCTTGCCTTCTCAATATTACTGGATATTCTCTTGACTTTCATGGCATCAGGGTCCCTGGAGTTTCTTCTTTCTTTCTAACTACACTACCTCAACCTCCTTTTTGTGCCTCCTTCTGCAGCTTATTCTCTGTGTGTTTGTTTTTATAGCATTGTCTCTGCCCCTTTTTAAAACCTTTTTTTTTTTTAAGAGATTTTTGCTATAGGGCATATTCACTAGCCAGATAGCCAGAGACAGAAAGCAAGAAATCATCCTCCAGGGAAGATGGGCACACCACAATCCTTTCTCCTCTATTCTCCTCTTGGAATTTTGGGCATCCACACACATGAGCCCACTGCAAGTTTCAGGCCACTGGGTCTGGGACTCGAACCATGTTTGGCCATGTAGGAGTCCAGCAACATAACCGTTACACCATCTGTTGGTTCCTTTAGTTTTGTTTTTTTGCTTTAAGAGTTCTCATTACATCCTAATCTTTCTGCTCCCTTGAAATTCTAGGAATTCTTGAAGCCTTTCATTCCCACATTTAAAAAAGAACAACAAAAATCTATAACCTGGTGATCTCTTTGCTACTACAGAGTTTTGCATTTCCAACTGCCTATTTTATAATTCTTGGATGTCTAATATACATTTGATTAATTGTTTTTCATTGTTCACCAAAATCTTTTTTTTTTTTAAATAAAGCTTTCTCGGGCCAGCAGATGATGGGATGGTTACATCACTGGACTCCCACATAGTTGACCACAGTTCAAGTCCTGGACTAGGTGGTTTAAACCTTATGCTGGGTACATGTGCATGCGTGCATGCCCAAAATCCCAAGAGGAAAATGGAGGAGAAGAGATTGCAGCATGGCCATCCTCTATAGGGATTAATTTCTCACTTTCTGGCTCTCTGTTTCTCTGGCGAGTACATAGGCCCTATAGCAAAAATATCTCTCTACAATAAATAGATAAATAAATGAATAAAGCTTTCTTTCTTATGTATTTATTTCATGAGCCAGAGAGAGAGAAGCACCCTCAACAGGGTCCCATGCAGCCTTTCAGTCAACCTAGACCATGGGCACACATGTGGGTGCCTGCCATGCTCAGGTCAACCTAGACCCAAACCCTGAACCTTCGTATGGCTTCCGGTACTGCAGTGTGTTGTGCTACTGCTACACCACAGTGACTGGACCACTACTACACGTTTTCATTTCAATATGTCCATGAGGCAACTTAATTTGTCTCTCTTAACTGGGTCCCTAAGAAATAGCTCCAATTTCAGTAAATTGCTTCACTATTGACCTAATATGTAAGCCAAAAATCTAGGAATTATACTTGATAATTTTTTTCTCATACTCTCATATCTTATTTATCCACAAGCCTTACATTTCCTACCACAACATGTATTCTAAATTTATTTACCATTACTTCCTTAGTCCAAGCCATCATTATCTTTTGCTTAAAACCATATTTCCATATAAATTGACCCATTTCTTCCTCTTCAACTTCATTTCAAAGCACTCTCCCTATCACCCAGGAAATGTTGCTTCCACTGGTCCCCTTCACATTCCTCAAACAAGCCAAGCTATCTGCTATCCGAAGGTTTTGCTTTTCTTTAGTTTGCCTGCAACACCTGGAAAACGAATTTCCACCCTACTCCATATCTACACCACATAATCCTTCAAAAGACTTCCTTCAATTTTTCCTTTAGGAACTTACAACCTACCTGATCACATCCTCTTGTTTATTTTTACTCAGTAATTTAAAACATCCTGTAATTACCTCACTTACCTGTGCCACACTTCAGAGTACTTCTCCTGAGTAGAAGGTAAGTTTGATCAAAGCAGAGACCATGTCTTTTTTGGGTATGACTGCATCCCTTGCACTAACAGGAGAATTGCCTGACTTGTAATAGCTGTTTGAGCTAAGAAAATGATACCCCAAAACAGTGCTTGGCAGGCCAGCCCCTGATGTAGTGATTAAGGTGGCTTGGATCCCACATGGCTGACTGGCTGGAAAACATGCCAGGTGCAAATGTATATCCAAAATCCTAAAAGGAGGGAGAGACAGGAGAAGGGATTGTGATGTGATCATTCCCCATGGGGGAGTGCTTTCTCTCTCATCCCCCCTCTCTCCAACTCCCTACAAGCCCATGCACTCTCTGACAAAATTTGAAACACACATATATGCTTTAATATGCTGAACTGAAGAAGCCTCATGTCCCTCTGATCCCTCACTTCCCCTACTGTCCTCTTAACTCTGTATCCCTCCCAAAGTACAGGAAGAAGTCTTCCTTTAAAGTTCACTCACCTCCCTACAGACTGGTCAGCCAAGGAGAAATAACTGCTTTCAATCTTATTACTGAATATCAAACCAAAGACGAAAATAATCACCCTCAGTCCCTTCCCTAAGTTTTCATGAACTAAACTCAGATTGCCGTGAGGAACACTGGAAAACATAAACAAACCTGGACAGATTTTTGTCACACGACTATTGTCCATCTTTCAGGCTCATTCAAATTTCCCTAAAAATCATTTAGTATCCCCATAAAATTGCCTATAGTGACCCCATTTCCCTCTTCCCTATGAAGGGAATCTTTAAAGGCTCAACCATCTGGCCCCTCTTTGAGTTCATATTTTGTATGGTTCCAGTGTATGCATGTATATGTTAAATAAATTTGTATCTCCCTTTTTTTCCCTGTTAATCTATTAGTTTATTTTATATGCAAAAATTATCAATCCTTCTGAAATAAAAGAGAAAGCTTTAAAATTCCTGATATAGGCACTTGATAATCCTTGTTAAATATTAAGAGTTGAACGGATGGGTAATTAAGTGAAAGACATGTCAAATTCCATTGAGATTCCCTAACCTTTTCATTCCTACACAAGTCAAATTCACCTTTAGCCACCCATGCTGCTTGATAGCTAGTTACCCAAAACACATTTTCTTTTTTCCTTTGCTTTCGATTCCGCCTTGAACTATTGATCATTTTCGCTAGTAATAATAATAAAGTGCTTTGAGCAATTAGTAGGAAAAGCACGAGTAAATGATCTGATGCTTTTCAGAATGTCTCCAGGTTGATGTGATCACCCCTAAACAAATGATGTCCTCTCATCAATCATTCCTCCACTTCCTGCAGCTGAATCTCCCCCAAGGAGTCATCCGATCCTCTCAATCTTGAAGACTGACAAGATGTCCCTGCGGACTCCCTAATTCTACTGCAAATGGGGAGGGGTCCTTGCTACTGAGATTTTAAAAGCCCCATGTTCCAAACAAGATTGGAAAACTCATGGGTAAAGTTACAGTTACCGCTGGATTTGGGAAGGGAACAGAACATGAAGGTAAGTAGACGCCCTACTTGCTTGAGAATTTTTACCCAGTTTATAAAAAGTTCTATAGCTTTTTAACCCCTGATACATTTCATCAATATTTTAAAGGCAAAAGGCTATTTGAGCAATACATCTCGAACACAGAAGAGTTATTTGATTTTACTAAAAATAAAATTCACTTATTCATTCATTTCTCATTTGAACGGGGTAATGAGAATAATATACTTAATGCATTTTTTAAAGTGGGCTCTGAGGATGTAGTGCCGCTGAGACTGGGGAAACCTCTCCATGTACTGAATATTAACGCCCAGTGAGAAGTAAGGGGTTTGTGGTATCCCAGCCTCTCCGCACAGAAATGATCCTCTTCGGTGGATTGTTTTCTGTAGGGACTCAGACGCCTGGCAACCATAGCGCTGGCTCTTTTCCTGGTGCTTTCTTTCCTGGGAAACTCAAAAGGAGCCCCACAGGTAATCGAATGCAAAAAATAATAATAACGTGCACTGTGTGCCCATCCTCTGCACTTTGCTTTTGCCCTCCCCCCTTTCTTTCTCTGTTCTTTTCCCTAGTAGAGGACTGAGCTGCAAAGTTAGATTGACTCCTCTTCTCTTCTCCCGGGTTGTAGAGACTCTTGGAGAGAAGGAACTGGACTCCTCAAGCTATGCTCTACCTGAAGGGGGCACGTAAGTCTAAATGTTTTGTCCCCCCTGCAATGGTAATGGAAGACTTTAGGGGTGCATGAATTCATGAACAGAGAGCGGAAGACTATAGAGGGAGAAGAGTATCCAGTTTGCTCCCTAAGAAAAACCATCCCGCTCTCAATTGATCAAGAAAAGAGACGGGCGAGTGAGGGAGGGCGGTGGAAGGGGAAGACTCCCTCATTGTTGGAAATCCTCCAAAACTCCGGGACTGGAGAGCTGCTCTTCCTTGGCGCGATCGGTATTGCAGTTACCCTGGGACACTTTGCCCTGGCTGGTGAATGCGACTTCCTCTCCAAAGCGCCCTGGTGGCCACGGGAAGTGTGCCAGCCTTCCACCCCCAACAGCGCAGCGCGCGGCTTCTCCCAGCTCCGGGCCCGGGGACTGTGCCCAATGGCTCTGGAGTAAGCCCCGACTATCCCGAGCCGGGCAGGCGATGAACCCAGTGTCTCAACTTTGCAGAGGGGCGCCGCTTCATCTCCGACCAGAGCCGGAAGAAGGACCTCTCGGACCGGCCACCGCAGGGTGAGTGACCAAGGGAGCAGGGTGGGTCGGTCTGGGCTGTTCCTGCCTGGCGCCTAAGAGGAAAGACGCGCCTCCAGGGCCGCCGGGAGATGCAGTTGGCTGAGGACGAGTCCAAGTAGGGCGGGACACCGAACGCCAGTGCTGGGGGTTCGCGACGCCCAGCCGCGCATTGATGGTGGCCGGGACCCCGGAGGCTGGCGCTGGCGCTGGCGCTGCAGCTCCCGAAGCTTTAACTGAGTTGCAGCTGCTGGGAACC